CATGGCTTGAGCTTCATTCCAGTATGTTCTCAGTTCCTCCCACTTGAAGATACCTAAGAGAAATACCAGCAGGAAATTTCTGTGGCCATGAAGGATCCGGGTGTCTGGCACTAAGGCTGTTGTCTGAGTCAGCTCGGCCTGCCTTAACATAGTCTGGGTGGCTTACAAACAATAGAACTGTATTTATCACAGTTCTGGAGGCTGGAAGTCCAAGACCAGGGTGCTGGCATGGTTGGGTTCTGGGGATGCCAGGTGGCCGACTTCTCTTGGTATCTTCACGTGACAGGGAGCAGAGAGGGAAAGCAAGCTCTCTTGTGACTCTTACAAGGGCACTAATCTCATTCATGAGGGTTTCATCCTCATGACCTCACCTAATCCCTTTTTTGACTGTATATCATCATCATCTAATCATAATTACCTCCCAAAGGACTCACCTTCTTATGCCATCATGTGGAGTGGGTAGACTTTTAACATATAAATTTCAGGGGAACATATTCAATCCATAAGAGCCATTAATATTTTTTAGTACCAGGGAGCTGGGTCTGCCGAGCTAGAGGTAAACCACAACCGAACACTGTGGCAACTCAATGACATCTCATGATGATGGCGTCTACTTCTAATTGTGACCCAGAATTGTATCCTTTCTAAGTAACATAAACCTTGATTTTTAGCTGTACATATGTGGTCACCTCCAATTAGGATTACATTTTTTAAAGCCCTTCTTTGCTGAATGTGGTCATATGACTAAATTAGCCAGGGAGACAAAATGAAATGTGACTTCTGGGAGGTGTACTTAAAAAGAGGAACATGGTCTTCTTCCCTCTTTTTCCTTCCTGCTGGCTGGAAAATAGATGTGATGGCTGGACCTAAGCAGCTATCTTGTACCACAGAGAAATAATAGAAGGATCCTGGGTTAGAGGAAACTGCCTGAAACTTTGAATGGAGTTTGTGTATCAAAGAGAGAACTAAATTTCTAAGTTGTTTGTCACTCGAATTATTTTTGTCATGCATACTTAAAGTTTAAGGAGTGACTTGGTAAGGTTAAATGTTTTCATTTGCACAATGGGACTAATAATAGTTACCTTAGCCTAATGCTAAGGCTGTAGCAAGTTAGTCATAAATCCAAAAGCAGAACCCAGGAATCTTAATGTCTCAAGCTTCTAAGCTCAATAGTGTTTTTGACAAAAGTCTTGGACCTTAGACACAGTGTACCTCTTTCCATTGGTAGCTGTTGTAACAAATGAAGCAAATATAAACCAGGATATATTTATATTATAGAAGCACTCTGCTCCAGAGCCTCATTCAGGATCTACCTCTGTCATGAGACCTTCCTGCCCATTAGGTCTACAGTGGGTCCTCTCACTCTGAGTTCCTACAACACACTGCTAACTTTACTCTTAAATATGGTCTCCAGGTATCTGTCTCATCTGTGTCTTAAATTAAATGGTAACCTCTCAGAGGGCTGAGGACCTCCCATAGATCTCAGAATAATGGACATTGTGCAAGGTACAGAGGAGATGCATCAAAGTGCTTGTTAAAATGAATGAAAAGGTGCTATTCTGAATATGAGATGAGGAAAGAATCCTCTGGACTGTATAGAAACACAGAGATATTTGTTTTGTTTTTTCTTTTTTTTTTAGATGGAGTCTCATTCTGTTGCTCAGGCTAGAGTGCAATGGTCCCATCTTGCCTCTATGCAACCTGTCTCCCAAGCAATTCTCCTGCCTCAGCCTCCCCTGTAGCTGTAATTACAGGCACATGCTACTGCACCCAGCTAATTTTTCTACTTTTAGTGGAAACAAGGCTTTGCCATGTTGGCCAGTCTGGTATCAAACTCCCGGCCTCAAGTGATCCACCAGCATCAGACTCCCAAAGTGCTGGGATTATAAGGTGTGAGCCACTACACCTTGCCAGAAACACAGATATATTCGAAACTGGCATTCCTAGCCAGTACTAAATATTTGAGGCCTTCAGACCTCAATCTGTAATATAAAGTTTTAATTTTCTTCTACTGAAATATCCCATTGCAAATAGAAGTCCCACAATACAAGGAGTATTACTGAAACTGGACAAACCAGATGCCAGGATAGTTAGATTTATTTTTTGGACCATGAGTCTGGCCTCCAGGGAAAAAAGAAACTTGTCAATTTCACTTTTTTGCTTGGATCAGAAGATTAAGCCTGGCAGACAGAAACTGTTTGGGACTAGTGGTTCTCTGGAATTTCTAACCTTCTCTGGGCTTGGGAGGAGTTGGGAGAAGAAAATGCATCATCTGAACGATGGCCATGGTTACAACAGGCCTCGTATGCCAACCAGAGGGAAAGAAAATACTTGCTGAGCAAAGTAACTGGAAAGCAGTTGCTCATAGTTTGAACTAAGCTACATGATTGATATCCAGAATAATGTAGATTTTTGGACCAGTGAACACTTGGAAATACGCTTTCTGGCTGGAAAGCAGCATTTGGTGTTAGGAATGGAAAAGGCTATTGCAATGCTTTTTCCCTGGGCACTTTGTGCTGCCAGATACTCAGGGCCATCTGAAGCATATTTACTTACTCCAGCAGATTTCTCAATAGTTCCAGCAACAGGAAGGAGTTGACCAGCTTGAAAGGTGCATGTAGCCAGGTGGTAGAGTCAAGAAAAGCCTGTCACGCTGCTGAGGCCGATGGTAACGGTGCCATCCTGTTGAGCCCCTGGAGGGTGAACACTTAGGAGGACACATGGATAGTGATGTAAGTGCTGCACAGGGCACGGTACTGGACAAGTGTCTTAAGTCCAGCTGGGCAAACTCCCAGGATGCCAGATCACAAGGGCTGTTTCCAGGAAGGGCTGACCCCTGCTGTGTACATCCTCTTCCCCTGAAGTCAGTGGAGCTCACCAGTCTCAGTTACCTTCTAGGCCACTGAAGAGATTCCCAGTTAGTACACAGGAACGTCCAAACCTATAGGATTTGAGACTGGAGATTGCAGCCATCACATGACGGAAGCAGAATTTGACTCCAGAAACCTTGCCTTGAATCTTGGCGGTGTCATTTACCAGCAAAATAAGGCCAGGCAAGTCACAATCTCATGGAGTGTTCACTTATCCACCTGTAAAATAAGGATGTCTGATCTATTTCATAGGATTGTTTTTAGGATAAAATGAGATAAGGCATTTGTCCTGTCCTCTTCAAATGCCACATTGTGATACTCTTCACTTAATTATTCTAAGGGCTTTAAAGACTCCATCTCCTTTAATCTTGACCACAACTCATGGCAGGGGGATACTATTTTCATCCTCATTTTACAGAGGGGAAACGAGGACTCCAGATGAGTAAAGTGACTTGTTCAAGGTTATACCACTAGGTGGCAGACCCAGGATTTGAACCCTGCTGTCCAGCTCCAGAGTCTGCCTGACCAAGGCACTCATTCCCAGAGGAGGAAAAGATCGACCGTTCTTTTAGAAGTGCTCTTCATTTTTGTTTGGAGAACCACAAGTACTTTTTTTCTTGTTCCAGTATCCAGTCTGGGCTTTCTTGTCTGAGGGCACTGGGGAGAGGGGAAGTCGTTTAAGCAGGGAATGGTGCGTTCAGGTTTGCTGCTTAAAAGGATGACTGGCTTCTAAATAGCGAATAGACACACTGGCTGCCGTGTGGAGGCTGGATGGGGCCAGTGTGGGGAGAGGGCAAAGCTGAATTCAGGAGTCAGGTGCGAAGCAGGTTCATGGAATCCAGGAGAGAAGCCCTGAGGGAGCAGAGCTAATCCTAGGACCTCTCAGACCAAATAGGCAGGAGGAGTGTAGCAATGATGCTTCCAATCAAATTACAGAAAAGAATCCCTCCCTGAGAAGTGGCCCATGCTGATGGAAATAAGCACTAAATGTTGTTCTCCACATAAGAAGATAGCTCTGGGTTTCATTTTGCCCCCCTCATCCCTGTGATTACCTGGAGATGTCAGTCTCATTGAAGGCAGCAGAGCAGCTTGCTGTGTTGAGGAGCCAGCGTGATGTAGCTGTGACCATTCCCAAGATGGCCCTCTGGGGGTGGCCCTGGGCAGAGCCCCCCCAACGTCTGACTGAAGCTCTGCTGAGCTGTCCTATCCAAGTGGGTTGGGCACCCGGGAGAGGTCTCCTCCCCTTTTCCTACCCCATCTCTGGGATATCTGCATCCTCAGACTACCTCCTCCTCATCCATGCTTTTTCTTCTCTCCCATCAGGGGACCAGGGCCTCTCTGCCGGTCTCTTCCAGAGCTGCTGGGCCATAGAGAGGCTGCCCTTTCCCTCCAGTTCAGAGCGGGAAGCTAGGATGCCTAAGTTCCAATCCTGGATCACACGGACCATAGGGCTGGGAGACGGTGTGTGTGTGTGGGGGGGTGGGGGGTGGGGTGGGGGAGGGTTATAGTACCCAAGAGGTCCTCCCCAGCCGCCAATGCCCAGCACACGCGTCACCTTGTCCCTTGCGACTCCTCCCAGGGCAGCCGCTGTGAGACTCAGGAAGGGACTTTTTAGGGAGAGTCTTTGAAAGAAATGGATGCTCCCATTCCCCACTCCAACTCCACAGCCCACCCTGTGCGGGTTACCTGGCAACTTCCCAGTTGCTCTTGGTGTTGCTGCAGCAGGGAGGCGGATCTCTCGGCGTCTTTGTGTCACAGCATTCTCATCTGGTGAATGGGGCTAGGAGTATTTTCCCTGCCTACTTCATGGGGCTGTTGGGACAATCACGAACTTGAGCTAAGAAATATACATGCGTAAGGCATTATGATCAGCCAGGTGAGCATTCTGGTGGGTATCTAATGCTGGGGCTCTCTCAGGCTTCCTCGGGCAGGAGTGCCAAAGGAAAGTTACTCTTTATCCAAGTCTCCCCTGGGGCCCACTCCGGCAGAGCTCCTCGGCGAGGGTTGACCACGACCCGCTCCTCCTGCCCCTCTCCCATTGGCTTTCACCTGCCAGAGGGTCAGCTGCTACAGGCCTTTTAGCGCGTCAATCAGGTCCGCCAAACTCCGCCCCGCCCCTCCCGTGGGTTTATAACGGGAATTCCCATGGCCCGGGCTCAGGCGTCCAACCTGCTGCCGCCGTGGCCCCGCCGAGCGGAGCTAGTGCCGCGCGCAGAGCACACGCTCGCGCTCCAGCTCCCCTCCTGCGCGGTTCATGACTGTGTCCCCTGACCGCAGCCTCTGCGAGCCCCCACCGCAGGACCCCTGCCCTCTTCCCGCCGCCGCGAGGGCCCCAAGCGAAGGAAGGCGGGAAGGGAGGCGTGCTGTGCGCCCCGAGGAGCCCGCGATCTCCGCTCGCTGCCGGCTGCCCGGCCCGGCTGGCACCATGCTGCCCGCGCTCTGCGCCCGCCTGCTCACGCCCCACTTGCTGCTGGTGTTCGTGCAGCTGTCCCCGGCTCACAGCCACCGCACCACAGGCCCCAGGGTAAGTGCGCCCCCGGCTGTGCGCCCACCTGCGGAGGGAGACGAGGTCGCTTCGCCCCTTGTCCCTGGGGGCAGGAGGAGAAGGAAGAGAGATGTCAGAGACCTGTTGTCTTCTGTCTACTACCAGGTCTCCTGTGGGCTTCATTGGTGAAGTTGCTGAAATATATATATTTTTCTCCCATTGGCGCCCCTCCCCACTCCATTTCGTGCAGCACCATCCCGACCCCGCCCTGAACTGTCACTGGTGGGTTTTCTTTGCAATCTCTTCTCTCCAGCATTTTGCTCCAGACCCCCAGAGGTGCCTTCTGCGTCGGAGAGAAGCTCGCTCTCCGCTCATGTAGGGCTTCCCTGTAGTTTCACGCAGCGCCGGGTCCAGCGTGCTGGCGTTGTTGGCAGGCGGCGGGGGGCGGGGGGTGGGGGTGCAGCTCTGCCTGGAGAGTTTTAGGTTACCCGAGAGCCACACAAGGACCTTGTGTTGTTGTTTTAAAACGCGATCACTGCTCGTAAAACCCACGGCAGATAATTTTAATGCCCCCTCCTGCCCGGCAGGCTCTGGAAGAGGGTCAGAGGCGGGGTACTGTAAAGAGGTGGGAGGGGAGAGTTGCGCAATGTTCAGGGGTCTCTTCCCCTGGGTTCAGAGCTGGGAGGTTGAATTACTTGTTGAACCTTGGTCTGATTGGAGTTTCTGAACGATATGAAACCTGCCAATTCTGTGCGCAGGACAGACTGTCCAGGGCATTGTAAAATCTCCTGGAACCGACAGCATTGTGTTCATTTCTGGTCTAGATTATCCGCCTCTCCCCCGCCCACCAATTGGTCTAATAAAGAATTTCACTGCCTTAAAACATGTACTGTTAAACCACCTAGTGGTTCTTTTGACCAAACTTAATCCAGGCAATCTCTGGCCAAGCATCAGTTTATGTCAGGGCAATTGCCTCTTAACTGGCAGCCTGAGAGTCCATGTAGCAAGGATCTTTGTGAAAACAAGGTTGGTTCAACCAACTTGTGCTTCCTTTCCTGACCATCCTTGGGCCTAGCACTGTACCACCTGTTCAGATTGCAGGTTGTTTATTCATAGCTTTTGCTATATGAGAATCATCTTTATAGCTGTAGTGTGTAGAGGAAAAGCCTTGCAATGCTTGACAAATCTTAATGACTGCCCAGATGCTGGGTTGATTACATCCAAGCCCAGCTATCACTGTGAGATCAGATTTGCAGCCACTTAGGAAAGAAAAGTGTTTGTCCCTGTGTTGGGCCGGCCCTTGCTTTTATGACCAGATGTGCAACAGCAGCAGTTAAAGTGTGGCAGATTAGATCCAGGGCGTGTCATAAATCCTCGACAGCAGGCATTCCCAAAGCTGGGGCAAGTAAGGGCTCCGGGAGTGACTTTTATGGATGCAGATGAGGATGCCTTTTAAATGAAGCCGCTTGGTTTGATATTAGGACTCGGAGCTCTTAAACTCTGAGGTCAGGCGAGCCATGCGTTCCCTCCAATAATTAGGAACAGTCAAGACAGAGATGCAGACCAGAGCACCCCGACTGAAATCTGGATGGCCGCCCACAGGAGGGTCGAAAGGAGAGAGGCCCTGAGACAAATGGTGGGGGGCTCGTTTGTTTGCTGCTGGGCTTGTCTAGAGTCTCAAGCCATATGGCTCTCCTTCCTGGCCTCCTGGAATCAGAGGAAGCAACTTTTAGGGGAAAGCTAGGGACTTGAGGGGAAAACAGTCACTGTGGTTAGGTTCCTTTCAGCTCCTTTAGTTTATTAATTTGATAGAAGTGATGGACTGTAAGCAGGTATTGCAAATAGGCTGGTGTATGTCCCAGCTGCTTCACTTTCTCTCTCTCTCCCTCTTTTTTTCCCCCTTTCTCTCTCTCACTCCAATAAACACACACGTACAAACACACACACATTGCACCCCCTGCGTCTTGGTGTGTTTAGAAAGTACCAAGGAGAAGATGCTGTCTCGAGCGTTGGAGCATATGGTTACCTGGTTGTGTTTATTGATAACAATATGAACATTTGGGCTGGGCACCTTTCAAGATCTCTTATTTGAATGGGAACAAGAAGGTGGGTCTTTTTAAAGCAATCTTGCAGACGACAAAGTGAGACTTAGAGTGGCCAGTCGACTTGCCTGAACTTCCAGTTTATGTGGATTGAAAGGTTGTGTGCAGCTGTAGCGAATGTTCATCCAACAAGTGATGCCATTTCTGTTAAAGGAAGAGATGGCTCAATGAGAAATACGGAATCAGGTGAGTCTGCAGAGAAATTACTAATATTTTTTGGTATCTGTATCACTTAAGGGAAATGATTGAATTTCAACCTATCTGCAAAGACTCCAGTTCTTTTCTATGGCTTATTGGTGGCCCTAAAAGTGTAGCTCTGGTTGAGAGCGGCGTCATCGGAAGAGCAGAAACATCTGGCTCTGTGGGTGCTCCTAAGTCTCTCTGTTAATCTTTTGAGTGACAGAGGCTTAAGGATTGGCATCTTTTCCAGCTGGCTTTCTAGGAAACCAAGAGCATGCCCTTTCAGTTTAACTTTATCTGGCTCACTAATTGAGCTCCCCCGAGGCCCAGACCTCAGTCCTTGCCCCCTTATTTGCTTCTTGCCTTCCTTCATAAAATTCCTGACATTTGTTTGACTCTGAAACCAGCAGCTATCAAGTATCAGATTGGAGGCTGTTATGTAGGAAGCACCTGATTTTGGGGTCTCTCAACTCTGAGCAGCTGCTTGGCTACCTGGGATGTTGCTCAGGATTCTTTTAATTACCGAGGAGGCAGCCGTTTCTTTAATCCTGCACAATTTACTGAAAATGTTTCAGGGGAGGGTGGCATGGGGGAGGGGCTCTCCCTGGCTGATGGTGTCTGGCCCATGGTCAAGCCAACTGCTTGTCTTTGTTTAATTCTGTGTCTGCCTTGAAGACGGAAAGCTGGATGAAGGCAGGAACGGTTTCTGTCTTGTCCAGGGATGTATCCTCAGAGCTCGGCATGGGGCCAGACCCCTGTAAAGATTTACTTTGTTGATGTTGGTGGAATGAACAAATAAATGCAGGTAATATGTGTTTAAGAGTGGTCACAGATTCCACTTTGACTGGAAGAAGGAACTAGATTTAAGAAGTGTGAGAAATAGGAGATGATGCGAAGATTAAGAGGTCTGAGTCAGAAATGGATTTTTATTTTTTAAATTTGACAGGTAACATTGTATGTATTTATCTCATACAACATGATATTTTGAAATATATATATACATTAAATCTAGCTAACTAATGATTGCATTACCTCACATAATTATCTTTTTTGTGGTGAGAGCACTTAACATCCACTCTTTGCATTTTTCAAGGATACAATAACTTGTCATTAACTGTAGTCACTTTGCTGTTCAATAAATCTCTTGAATTTATTACTCCTCTCTAACTATAGTTACGTACCCTTTGACCAACCTCTCTCCTTTCCTTCTCCCTTCTTCCTTCCCCAGGCTTTGGTAACTACTGTTCTACCTTCTACTTCTATGAGACCAGTTTTTTTTAGATTCCACATATGAGTGAGATCATGCAGTGTCTGTCTTTCTGTGCCTGGCTTATTTTACTTAATGTCCTCTAGGTTCATCCATGTTGTTGCAGATGACAGGACTTCATTCTTTTCTATGGCTGAATAGTATTCCTTGTGTATATATTCCATATTTTCTCTATCCTTTCATCCACTGATGGACACCTAGATTGATTTTATATCTTGGCTATTGTGAACAATGCTGCCATAAACATGGGAGAGCAGATATTTCCTCAACATACTGATTTCATTTCCTTTGGTTAAATGTCCAGCAGTGAGATCGCTGGGTCATATGCTAGTTCTGTTTTTAATTTTTTGAGGAACGTTTTTGCTGTTTCTCATAATGGCTGTACTAATTTGCATTCCCACCAACAGTGTTTGTAAAGACCCCCTTTTCTCCATATCCTTGCTAGCACTCGTTTTTCATCTTTTTGATAATAAACGGCCATTGTAATTGGAGTGAGGTGGTATCTCATTGTGGTTTGACAGTATTTCCCTGATGATGAGTGATGCTGAGCAGTTTTGCATATACCTATTGGCCATTTGTATGCCTTCTTTCGAGAAATGCCTATTCAGGTCTTTTGCCCATTTTTTCATTGCATTTTTTTTTTTGCTGTTGAGTGATTTGAGTTCTCTGTGTACTTTGCATATTAACTCCTTATCAGATACATAGTTTGTGAATATGTTGTCCCATTCTCTAGGTTATCTCTTTACTTGGTTGTTTTCCTTGCTTTGAGGAAGCTTTTTAGTTTGATATAATTTCATTTGTCTATTTTTGCTTTTGTTGCTTGTGCTTTTGAGGTCCCCAAACCAATGTCATGGAGCTTTTCCTTTATGTTTTCTTTTAACAGTGTCATAGTTTGGGATGTTGCATTTAGGTCTTTAATTCATTTGATTGAGTAATTTTTGTATACGGTAAGAGATAAGGGTTTGGTTTCTTTCTTCTGCATGTGGATATCCAATTTTCCTAATACCAATGATTGAAGATTGTCCTTTCCCGATTGTGTGTTTTTGGTACCTTTGTTGAAATCAGTTGGCTGTAAATGTGTGAATTTATTTTTGGGCTCTGTATTCTGTTCCATTGGTCTATGTGTCTGTTTTTATGCCAGTACCATGCTGTCTTGGTTCTACAGCTTTGTAGTTTATTTTGAAGTCAAATAGTGTGATGCCTCCACTTTGTTCTTGTTACTTTTTACTTTGCTTTGGCTATTCAGGGTCTTTTGTAGTTCTACAAAAATTTTAGGATTTTTTTTTCCTATTTCTGTGAAGAACATCTTGGTATTTTGATAGGGATTACACTGACTCTGTAGATTGCTTTGGGAAGTATAGATATTTTCACTACATTTGTTTTTCCAATTCATGAACATGACATCTCTTTCCATTCATTTGTGTATTCTTCAACCTGAAACTGATTTCTTAAATGGTTTATGTATTTGTTATTTCTTCTCTCACCTCTCG